GAACGCCTCAGCATTCCCCCGGAGGAGCTGGAGGAAGTGTCTGGAGAGAGAGAAGTCTGGGCATCTGTGCTTAGACTGCTGCCACCGCGACCCGGTTCCGGATAAGTGGAGGAAAATGGATGGATGGATGGACCTGGGTTAAGAGTAGGCTTTTTGAGTAGAGGTTTAATTACTGCAACTTTAAAAGCCTGTGGAACATAACTTGTTAATAGAGAAAGGTTAATCAGATCTAATATGGATGTGCTGATTGGGGACAAGACATCTTTGAGCAGCACGGTCGGGATGGGGTCCAGGAGACACGTTGATTGTTTAGATGACACAATTGTTGAGGTCAACTCAGAGAGATGTATGGGAGAGAAGTAGTCTAAGTATAAATGGTCTTAAATAAATGGCACCTTTGTATGCTTTTACAGCACACTCAAAGCGCTTTCACATTATTCGGCCATTCACCCATTCGCACTCCCAAGCACTCACACACCGGTGACATGACCGGGAGCAACTTGGGGTTCAGTGTCTTGCTCAAGGACACCTCGACATGTTGACTGGACAAGCCGGGAATCGAACCGCTAATCCTCCGGTTAGGAAACGACCCGCTCTACCTCCTGAGCCACAGCCGCCTCCATAACAGATGTTTCTAAAGCCATTGTAGATGATGGCACATCTGTTAGAGATGTGGGAATGATCTGATTAATTTTTTTCTCTAATAGTTAAGATTTTATTTGTAAAGAAGCTCATGAAGTCATTGCTGCTGAGATCTAAGAGAATGTTAATCTCAACAGCATTGTGGCTCTCTGTCAGACTGGCTACAGTGCTGAAAAGAAACCTGGGGCTGCTCTTATTTTCCTCTATCAGTGATTAATAATATGCGGTTCTGGCACTACGAAGGGTTTTTTATGTTATTAAAATATCTTTCCAGGCGTCCAGGCGAAGAAAAACTCTTCTTACTTAGTGGAGCACCACCTCCTTTCTATTTTTCGTGATGCCTGCTTTAGGGAGCGGAACTGCGAGCTGTACCACGGGGCCTAGCCTCTTCAAAGGTGTGATTACAACAGTGAGTGGGTTTATTTACAGAGAAAAGCCAATTGAGTCTAAAAATGAACAGAATGCATTGTTGAGGCTGTCATTGTCAGCATCTACATGAATATTAATAATATCTAATGA